GGCTCGGGCCCCGCCATCTCTGCCCGCAAAGGGAGCCCGTGGCTGCTGGGGGCGGCGGCGCTGGCCCTCGGGGGCGCCCTGGGGCTGTACCACACGGCGCGGTGGCACCTGCGCGCCCAGGACCTCCGCGCCGAGCTCTCAGCCGCGCAGGTAAGGCCTGGACGGGCGGTGGATGGGGGCGCTGGGATGAGCACCAACCTTGGGACGCCTGGGACCCCGCGAGGTCAGGAGTCGCCTCCTACATGCGCTCGTGACCTTGGGCGAATGACTTGGTGTTAACTCTCCGAGCCCGCAGCGTCCTCATCTGTAAAATGGGGTGCCGCTGACATCCGCTGCCTAGAATTGTTGTATTTCTCCTAATATCGTTTTTCTAACGTGTTTTAGGGAGACATTTTTTTTTTTTTTTTTTTTTACTGAAAGTTTTGGAGGTAACAGAAAATGGAAAGCCTCTCACGAATTATCACTTTCCAATCGTTTTGTCGTTCCCTCCCCCTATTTTAGGGGGAATTTTTTTTTTTTTTTTTTTTTACTGAAAGTTTTGGAGGTAACAGAAAATGGAAAGCCTCTCACGAATTATCACTTTCCAATCGTTTTGTCGTTCCCTCCCCCTAGCCCCCAAATCCTAAAGCTGTGTGTTTAGTACCAGCAGCAGCAGCAGTAACATTTTTATGGAACTGATCCCCCTTAGACTTCAGGCCTGGAAACAGGGAGGGGCAGGGAGGTGTTCCCCAGCCAGGTAGTAGCCCACCTGCCCTTGAGACACTTTACACCCTGCACCGTCACAGCTCTTCTCTGCCCGCCCCCTCTCCCCGCAACAGGTGTCCTTTTCCAGGATGCAGGAGAACCCGGGTGGGTGAAAGGAGAGTGGGGTGCCCTGTGTCTCCCTGCCCACCCCCACGGTCCTCCAAAGCTTCCCATCTGAACACTGAGGGGGTGGCCTACACGAACATGCAGCCAGCTCACCGGGGGGCTTTCCTGCAGAGCATGCCAGATCCAGGCGCATGGCCCGGATATAACCCTCCCCCTTGGAGATCTCAGATAGACCCCACTCTGGCCAGTGCTAGCCTAGGTGGTAGCCCAGCTCTGCCCACCACCCTGAGGTCAGAGGAGTGAGGGTGAGCACAGTGAGTTGAAACTATTGTCTGCATCTTGGGGAATGCAACCTGGGGCTATCTGGTGTCCTTATAGGACTGGAGGGAGAGGAGAGGTGTCTGGCTAGTGTTGGGCAGAGACTGGAAGATTCCTCCTGCACAGACCCTCAGACCCAAGCCTCCTTTCCTGGGTAGAGTGCTAGCTGGGGCCTTGAAGCTAGGTTGTCCCAGTGCCTGTGTTTCTCCCTGCTACCCCCCAACCCCCATTCTTCCTGATGTTCTCAGGGTCATCCCAAGATTCCCCTGGGAAACATGTTTGGAGGCAGGGCCTGGGTTTGAGGGTACCAGGCCTCAGACGTCCCCTCTCTCTGTCCCCTTCAGCTATCCCTGTCCAGCCGCCTGCAGCTGACCCTGTACCAGTATAAGACATGTCCCTTTTGCAGCAAGGTCCGCGCCTTCCTCGACTTCCACGCCCTGCCCTACCAGGTGGTGGAGGTGAACCCTGTGCGCAGGGCGGAGATCAAGTTCTCCTCCTACAGGAAGGTGCCCATCGTGGTGGTTCAGGAAGGAGACAGCTCGGTGAGCCTCAGGGAACCACCCCCAACCTCCCTCTGTCCTGGAGTGCCCCCGAATCTGGCCTTGCTCTGCAGTCCTGGAAGGAACTTGTGATCCCTGGGCCTCTACTGAGAATTAATTATGAGGGGAAAATAGCAGGTGTACAGTAGATGCTCAATAAATGTACACTCTCTTTCTTCCCTGCCGACACCAAACACCACCCGGGTCTAAGGGAAGCAAAGAACCACAGACCTTAACAATGTGGATTCTGAAATCAGGGTGGTCTGCGTTCAGGTGTGACGGCCACCCACTAGCTGTGTGACTTGGGGCAAGTCACTTAGCCTTTCTGGGCTTGCTTCTTCATCAGTCAGGAAGGGACCATACTCTGGGTTGTAGGAACAGCAGGTATGAAATGCCTGGCACTGTGCTGAACACCTAGTATGTAGCTTCTGCAGACCACCCTGTCCTTCGGTGCCTGGGAGGCCAGATGGCTGAGTGGGCTGGGCCCAGACCCGGAGCCTCCCCTTGCTTTCCTCCCCATTAGTCACACTTGGGTCTCCCTCACTCAGGATGGGTGCCCTGTGGGCAGGGAGGGGAAACTCAGTGGGTGTCGGTTTTAGGGGACAGCCCCCAGGAATGGATAAACAGTGCCCAGGCACCAGTGACCGGTTACCTCGGAATGCCTGGGGCACTGGTATTATTTAAGATCTGCTGTGATCTGTGTGCGGCGTCAGAACCTCTGATCTTTACCAACGTCTTCTCTTCCAGCAACAGCTGAATGACTCCTCTGTCATCATCAGTGCCCTCAAGACTTATCTGGTGTCGGGGTAAGGAGCCCCTTGGAAGCTCGGGCGGGCACTGCATTTTGTCCCTTCTGTCTCCAGGGAGTTCACCTGTGTTCCTGTGTGGAAGCAGGGTGGGGCTGCTGCTTGGATTTCCCGAATGGGCCATGGGTGTCCTACTCTGAGAACCCCACCTTCCTCGCCTCCGCACATCTCTCTCTGTCAGGGAGGTGCTCCTGATGGCTACCCCAAATCCCTCTTGCTGCAAAAGGGTGGAGAGCCTTTGTGGGTTGGTCAGCCAAGGTGGACAGGAGGAAGGAGTTGGGGTGAGACTCTGGATCTCTCTCGAAGGCAGCCCCTGGAAGAGATCATCACCTACTACCCACCCATGAAGGCCATGAATGACCAGGGCAAGGAGGTGACCGAGTTCTGCAACAAGTACTGGCTCATGCTCGATGAGAAGGAGGCCCAGCAAATGTATGGCGGGAAGGAGGCGAGGACGTGAGTGGGGCTGGGGTGGGCCTGGGGCGGTGGTGAGGGTGGGACCAGGCTGAGCGAGACGCTGGAGGGGGGAGCAGCACGGGACAGCATGAGGGGCTGGGGTCAAGCCACAGCTGGATGAAAAGTCAGTAAAGACCTCCCTGCTCAGGCTCCGGCTTCCCATCCACACAATGGCTGATCTAGAGAAGGGATCTGCCCCCAGCACACCCCAGGCCCTGGCATAGCAAGTCCACCTGTCCACCTCCCTCTGTCCTTCCCGCACCTGCAGGGAGGAGATGAAGTGGCGGCAGTGGGCGGATGACTGGCTGGTTCACCTGATCTCCCCCAATGTGTACCGCACGCCGGCCGAGGCCCTGGCCTCCTTTGACTACATTGTCCGCGAGGGCAAGTTCGGGGCTGTGGAGGGCACCATGGCCAAGTACATGGGCGCAGCTGCCATGTACCTCATCAGCAAGCGACTCAAGAGCAGGTGACGGCGCGTGTGTGTGCATGCGCGCGTGTGTAGATCACCTAGCTGAGCCAGACTCAGACCCAGACTCCTGATGGCCTTCCCCACGTCGGGGCAGCAGGACTGGCCTTAGTGTCCAGGAGCCTGGGCCCTGCCTTGTGCCTCCTCTGTGCCTCTCTCCTTGGGCAAGTCTCTTTCCATTCCTGAGCCATGGTCCCCCCACTAGGGCAGATGCTCACTGAGGTCTCTGTATGGGTGCCATGCCCTCACCTGGGTGCCAATGCCTCCTCTGTGCCTCTCTCCTTGGGCAAGTCTCTTTCCATTCCTGAGCCATGGTCCCCCCCACTAGGGCAGATGCTCACTGAGGTCTCTGTATGGGTGCCATGCCCTCACCTGGGTGCCACCCTGGCCACCAGGCCTTATTGCTCTTCCCAAAGGAGTCCCCACTGTCCGCCTGGGCTGGGGGTGGGCATCCCTCTGATGCACTCCCCCACCCCTGCCCCAGGCACCACCTCCAGGATGACGTGCGTGAGGACCTCTACGAGGCCGCCAACAAGTGGGTGGCAGCTGTGGGCAAAGACCGGCCCTTCATGGGGGGCCAGAAGCCAAACCTCGCTGATCTGGTGAGTGCAGTGGTGGTGGGTGGTGCCCAGACTGAGGGGCCTGGCCTTGGGGCAGGGGTTTTTGAGGGGAAGGCCCAGGCAATGCCTACATGTCACAGCTCCCCCAGTCCCCAGAGGAGCCTGCCTTCATCTGTTGTCAGGACAGAATCCCAACTCAGGGGCCGGCCCAGTGGCGCACTGGAGAGTGCGCCGCTTGGGAGTGTGGCGGCGCTCCCTCTGAGGGTTCGGATCCCATGTGGAGACCGGTTCCCGCTCACTGGCTGAGCGTGGTGTGGGCAGAACACCGAGGGTTGCGATCCCGTTGCCGGTCAGTAAAAAAAAAAAAGATATTTCTGTAAGGGGCCGGCCTGTGGCTCACTCGGGAGAGTGCGGTGCTGATAACACCAAGGCCACGGGTTCGGATCCCATATAGGGATGGCCGGTTTGCTCACTGGGTGAGCATGGTGCTGACAACACCAAGTCAAGGGTTAAGATCCCCTTACCCGTCATCTTTAAAAAAAAAAAAAAAAAGAATCCCAACTCAGAGTGGCTTAAGGGAAAAAAAACAGCTATAGGGAACTGTCTTGCTTCACGTAACTGACAAATTCAGGGAAGGGGTGGGCTTCAGGCCTGGCTGGATCCAGAGGCCTGAGTGGCATTATTGGCACCCAGGCTGTCCCTGTCACCACCTCAGCACCACTTTCATCTGAGCTGGCTTCAGCCTCAGGCAGGCCTGGGTCCAGGGCTCCAGGCTTCCACCTGCCAGAAGTCCTGGGCAGTATCTCATTGGCCTGGCTTCGATACCCATCCTCGAAGCCATTCTGCAGCCAAGGTGGCCTGGCTCTTGGTGGTGGGGTCTCTTCTCCCCAAATCTCAGGATCTGATTGTAAAGGAGGGCATTTTCCGCAAGGAAACTCGGGAGGGGGATTGTTTCCCAGAAAAGGGGTGGGGGTACCAGGCAGACAGAACCTGCAGCCCTTCCACAGGCTTCATTCGAAGCCCCATGTGCAAAGCTAGCATTTCAGTGGGTCATGAGCTCTCGGGAGGTGCCAGGCCCCAGGGCACACAGCTGGCAGAGGATGAGGCAGGTCTGGATGCACCCTCTGCAGCCCAGCTGCAGTGACAGTCCCATTACCCACCCTAGGCGGTGTACGGTGTGCTGCGAGTGATGGAGGGCCTGGAGGCCTTCGAGGACCTGATGCGGCACACGCACATCCAGCCTTGGTACCTGCGGGTGGAGAAGGCCATCGCGGAGGCCCCCCCAGCACACTGAGCATCCCCACCCTGAGCAGGGGGAAGGTGGCAGAAGATGCCAGCTGCCATGGACAAGGACCACTGGGCCAGCACCTGGCGATGCTGTGTGTGTGTTGGCGGGGAGGATCATTCTGCCTGTTGTCCACGCCCCCAGCCCTCTTGCTTCTAACACTGAACACCTGCTAGGGCCCTGGGAGGCTGGGGACAAGGCCCAGGCTCGATTTCCGTTCACAACCCCCCAAGGGTTAGGGAGTGTCTACCTGCTCCTTCGCCCTCTGCCCCCACTCCCATGCCAGTCCCCGGGTGCGGACCCCGGCCCTGACCCCCTCCCTTGTCCCGGTCCTCCCTGCTCTTCAGCCCTCCTCCTAGGCTCTTGATGGCTGCCCTATGGCTACACCCTGTGCGGGGGATTGGAGTGGACCCCCACCCTCGACAAGAGCAATGGGACAGTTTGTTTTAGGGAGAGCCCCGTCCTGGCTCCCCCCATTCCAGCTCTTCCCAAGCACCCCCAGGCCTGGGTCACTCTGGTTTGCAATAAAGGAAAGGTTTGCTGCTCCCCGCGTGTTGCCTGGTGTTGTCGCCAAGGTCTGTGTGGTGAGTGCCACGTGTGCCTGGCAGCAAGGAAGCCTTCGGGGCAAGGCCACGCCAGCCCTGGCAGTAACCACTGTTTGTCCAGTGCTCACTCAGTGGCAGCTGTGGGGGAAGGGCCCAGCAGGCACTGTCACATAATCTATGGGGTGCAGGTCTGGGTCTGCCCCTCACTGTGGGACTTGGCAGTATCTCCCTTCTCCCAGCCTTGGTTTCCTCATCTGCCAAATGGACATAATGGTAGTTCCGCATCATGAGAAAGTTGTGAGTTTGGTGATAAGATGCAGGTCACGTGCATGGAAGGATGCCCAGCTCAGAGCAGGGGCTCCCGGTCAGGGGGCCAGGGTTGTTCAAGCTGCAGAAAGCACAGTTCCCTGACAGGGCCCGTCTGGCCAGGGTGGCTGCCTGGGCTCCAGTCCACGGCTGGGATGGGGTCTGTAGAGAGAAGCCAGCTCTGTGCCTTCCAGAGCCGAGCGGTCCTCCAGAGGTCAGGCAGGCGGCCAGAGAGCCAAGTACCTCCCACTGGCTGCTCCCAATTAGGGTTGACTGGGAAACCCCCCTGGCCCTCTTGGAAAAGTTTAAAAATTTTAAACTTTCGAAACAAAAATAATTATGTTCCTTGTCATAACTAACATTCAAATAAGGCAGGAGTGTGTGTTGGTGCACTGGAGGCAGACAGCATTATGGGTGGAGTTGCAGCCTCAGTTTCTCCTGCAGGGCGGGCCTGCCACCTACCTTGTTCTCTTCCTCACCATGGACATCGCTGCTGGTCAGCTCGTGTCGCGCTGGCTTGTTCTTGACAGCTGCAGAGTGCTGTGCTGCTCGGATGCACCTAGCCCACTCATCAGGTGCCCTGTGTGCCCCCCAGGTGTATGAGCACCCGGCACTCGGGGCTGCAGGAGGAAGGAGAGAAGCCAGGCCTGTCTGTGGCATGAGGAGCCATGGAGGCCACCATGGAGGGATCAATAGGTGTAGGGGGCTCCAGAGCCACTTCTGTGTCCAAAATGCTATTCCCACTTCACTGGTCAGGACTTAGGTCCTGTGGAGCCTTTTCTCCAGGGACTGGGGTGGCCTGTGGACTCAGAGCCACCCTCAGCAGGACAGGAACTAAGCCTGGAATGCCGCAGTGCCAAGGGAGGGCCCTCACTCCATCTCTGCACACTCTGTCCCTCCATCCTTCATCCTGCATCCCTGCACTCTCTATCCCTTGCACCCTGCAGACTCCATCCCTGCACCCTGCACCCTTCACCACTCCATCCCTGCACCCTTCACCACTCCATCCCTGCACCCTGAACCCTTCACCACTCCATCCCTGCACCCTTCACTCCTCCATCCCTGCACCCTCCATTGTGTAGGGGGCTCCAGAGCCACTTCTGTGTCCAAAATGCTATTCCCACTTCACTGGTCAGGACTTAGGTCCTGTGGAGCCATTTCTCCAGGGACTGGGGTGGCCTGTGGACTCAGAGCCACCCTCAGCAGGACAGGAACTAAGCCTGGAATGCCGCAGTGCCAAGGGAGGGCCCTCACTCCATCTCTGCACACTCTGCCCCTCCATCCTTCATCCTGCATCCCTGCACTCTCTATCCCTGCACCCTTTACCCCTCCATCCCTGCACCCTGCACCCTTCACCCCTCCATCCCTGCACCCTGCACCCTTC